TATTATTAAAAATTATAATAGATTTAATAGTATATATAATAATAGTAAGCTTAATATAGAAAATAAAAATAGTAATAGAAAAAACTAAGCCAGTACCAAGCGGACCATGCACTGCTCGAAACTGACTGCCACTCAAGGCCATTCTCTGAAGTTCTACACCAAGCTTGACGCTAAAAAAAAAAAAAAAAAAAAAAAATATTAAAAAAAAAAAAAAAAAAAAAAAAAAAAAAAAAAGAAAAATAAAAAAAACAAAATAATTTAAAAAAAGAAGAAAAGAGAGAGAGAAAAAGAAAAAAAAAAGATTTTTATATAATAGTAAAAAAGCCTTCTAAGATATAATAATAATATAATATAAAAAATACTAGAATCTTAAGTAGATCTTAATTATATAATAATAATATAATAGTAATATAATATAAAAGATACTAGAATTCTAGACAAACTCCTAGCTGTATAATTATAATATAATAATAATATAATATAAAAAAATTGGAATTCTAGATAATAACCTAATTATATAATAATAATATTATAATAATATAATATAGAATATACCGGAATCTTAAATAAACTTTTAGCTATATAATAATAATATTATAATAAAAATTACTAGAAGAATAGAAAAATAATATAATAAATTTATAAGATATTATATATTAAAAAAATAACTGGAATATAATTATTAGAGTAATTTAATTTTATTATTATATTTTAATTTTAATCTAATTATAATCTGGTAGTTAAATTAAAATATAAAAATTAAATTAACTATAAATATAACTAGATTTTAGAAAAAACTATAAAAATTAAAAAACTAGACTATACTAGATTAAATTATATTAAACTTAGATTTTAATTCTAAAGACTACTAGATAGTTCTAGATTATTATAATAATTAATATTCCATACTAAAAAATATACTTACTTTTATATTTTTTTAGTATCTAATATTTAAGTAGATAATAAAAAAGACTTAAATTTTTATAGTAAACTAGATAAATACTAAAAAATTAATAAATTAATTTCTACTATTTTTTAAAGTCTACTAAAGATTTATAAATATATTCTAATTATAATAATTAAAATTATTATAATACTAAAAGCAGTAGTATAAGCTAAAATAAATAAATTAAATATCTTATAGTTTTTATAACAGCTTTTATTATATAGATTATATACTAATAATATCTTCTTAAAGATAGAGTAAAGTAATTATAAAATATAAAATATAGTTATTATTATAATTTATTCTAAAATAATTAATTAAAATTATATTTTTTATAATATAGTTATTATAATCTTTAAATATTAGATTATATTTATATCTAGTAGACTATATTACTAATTAATAAATCCTTTTCTAAAAAAGAGATTTAGATTTTTTAATTCTTTTCTATCTCTATATTATAAAAACTAGATATAGATTATATTTACTAGTTATAGCTATATTTATTATATAAAAATAATTATATAATTAATAAATTAATATTAACAGAATAGTTTAAAATAAAATTATATTAATATTCTTTACTAGTAACCTATAATCTATACAGAAAAAGGTTAATAAAATCCTAATATTATAATATTATTTTATTATATATTATATATACTAGGTTTTAAGACTTTCTGTAATAGAAAATAAATATTATATTAATAAAATTTTTTTAATACTAGAAAATACTTATATTTATATTATTATAGATTAGTCCTGTCTACTAAAAAAAAAATTAAAGAATTCAGATTAATATATTTAGAAATATTTTTATTATTATACTAGAAAATAACTTTAATATATTTAAAAATAAAAATAAATCTTATAATTCTATTCTCTATAGGATTATTATAAATATTATTATAGAAACTATACTAATACTAATCTACTATTTAAACTATAAAAATCAGCTGGAGAATCTCTAACTCCAGATTATAATAAATAATAAACTAATATAAGAGTATCTGATTTTATAGTACTTAAATTAATATCTTTATAAAAAATTTTTCTATATATACCAGAAAATCTTAGAGAATAGTTATTTATAAAATACTTAATCTAGACTTAGTCTTCTACAGAGAATCAAGATTATATTATTTTAATAAATAATTAATAAAAATAAATAAGATATTATTAATATATACTATTATTTATACCAGAAGTAAAAAATTATTCTAATTAATATAATTTATACTAACTCTGTAATTAAAAAATAATTAAAAAATTATAATTTACCTTATCTTATTAATTCTAATATTATTATATTTCTTATATAAAATAATAATCTAGTATAAGAGCAGCTCTGGAATCTAATCTAAATTATAAAAATAAAAATTATTAGTCTAAAATCTATTCTACAGAAAAAATTCTATAATATCTAGATATAAAACTTAAATAATCTAAATAAAAAAAATACTATACTACTAATTACTAGAATCTAAAACTATACTTATAAATACTAAAACTTACTTAATAATATAAAATAAGTTAAACTATACTATAAGTTCTAGAATTTTAAAAACCTTCTCCGGGGCAGTACTGGATATCCAGGTAAAATATATATATTATAAAAATAAAATAATAAATAACTCAGAATCCAGATAGTTAAAGACTATATCTAAAACTAATATATTATATATACTATTATCCTGGTATACTACTAATAGATTATATCCAGTAATATACAGAAGATATTATTCTTTAATATTAATAATCTTAGCTAAAGAAGTAGTATAGTTACTTTTAATTATATTCTAAATTATTATACTATATATCTTATAAAATCTTAAAATTCTAGTCTTCTAAAGTCTATTAAACAAAAATTTTATTATTACTAGATTTTAGTAAAAAACAGCTGCTTCTACTATTATTTAATAATAATAAAATAAACTTTCTTCTAAATAATCTAGATAATAGATAATAAAACCCTAATTATTTATTATTATTATATAAATAACTAAATCAGCCTATTCTATATTCCTAAAGTATATAATCTCTGTATTTAAATTAATTATATATATAATCTATACTATAAGATATTTCTAATTATACTATATTAGATTAGTAATCAGCCTAGTAATAACTAGAATATTATAATTTAGTAGATACCAGATAATTTCTATATTATTATAGATAGCTATAATAATTACTATAGTTAACTTCTTACTAAACTTCTTATATACTATAAATATTAAATATCTATCTAGATTTAATTCAGGATTAGGACTATCTCTAATACTAAGTAGAATATAAATAATATTTATCTAACCCTTCCAGGTAGCTGTATTAAAAATAACTAGAAAAATACTACTATTAATAATACTCTAGTCTAGAAGATAATATATAAAAAATAATAAACCAGTATTAATAACTACAGTAGCTAAATATTTTTATTATACTTTATCTAATATCTCTAGCCTCTTATACTTAAGCCAAGTCTTAATAAAATCTAGATAACCTGTATAGAGAATAGTTTTTATAGTAGACTAAAAGATATAAGTTAATTATAATAAATTATAAGACTTATAATAGTCTAGTATAAATAAAATAAATTTATATAGTACTATATTATTTAAATAAAGTTTCTCTAATCTTAATTCTTTAGTAAATATCTTTTTAAAAACTAGAATATTTTATTTCTCTGTTATTAAATATAAACTATTTAATAAGTAATATTTAGTAAAATAATAGTAAAGTATAAAATTAATAACTAGCTATATATAATAATAAGTCTAGATAAGAGTATTAATATCTAAGATATATTTAAGAAATTCTAATATTATTAAAATAAATTCTTAAAATAAATCTAGAAAATTTTTTATACTAGTAGAAGATATAATCTTAGTTAAATAATTTACTTAAACTATTATAGACTACTACTAACATCTAGGATATAATTAACTAATAGAAAAGAAATCTATTCCAGTTTAAATAATTCTCTTAGCCTAATAATTAATTTTATTAAAATATAATTAACCTAAATTAAAATCTAGAATAAGCCTATAATATATTCTAAACCCTATAAATAGAAGCTAAAGTACTAAAACTTAATATTAAAAATAATTAATAAAAACACCTCGAGAAGGATTATATAAAAAAAATAGATAATAAAATTATTAAAATATATTTAATATCAGATTAATATCCGCGAGATTCTATTAGTTTAAAATATATATTATTAGTCAAGCTAATTAGGGATATAGCTGGTATAAATAAGAGTAATAAGAATAAAAAAAAACTTTTAAAAGAATAAAAAAGATAAGTATAATTATTATTATTAATAATTACAGGCTTTAATAATAATAAAGTTAAGTTAACTAATCTAGTATTAGATAAGGTTTAAAAAAGCTTATATACTTTTATATATATTAAATAGTAGTATTATATAAATCTTCTTACTAGATAATCTTTAGATTAACTAGAGCTGGGATTATACTGGGAACCTAATTAATAGACTATAATAAATATATAATAATATTTTAATTAAAATACTAGTTATTTATATTACCTGCCCCCCTAGTTCTTCTCTAGATATAAAAGTAATAAACTTTCTAATTCTCTAGTATTATTTTATAATTATTATATTATCTACTTTTCTAATCTTATTTAAGGTTTTTTATCTCTTCTTTATTCTATTCTATTATTTTACTAAATCTTTTACTTTTATCTCTACAGTAATAGTACAGGAAAACAGAAAAATAAAAACTAGAAAAAAAAAAATAAAGATTTCTATCTTAAAGTATAAGAATAGTAATATATAATACAGGTATATATTCTAGTTAATATAACTAGAATATCTCTAGTCTAGAAAATAAGCTATCTATCAGTTAAAGTATCTAGAACCTGGAACAGTAGAGTATATATATAGTCTCAGATATAAGTATATAAAATTATTTATTTATAAGTACTGATTTATATTACTTAACTATATAACTAATTTCTTATTAAATTATTACCTAGTCTATATTCTATTTATTAGCCTGGATTATCAGGGCTGGTATATTAACTCAGTAAATCCTAATTATCCCTGTATAATTATATAAAAAATTCTAGAAACTACTCCTATACTATTATATTATTTAATATTTAACTATTCTTTAATTAAGGTTTCTTCTCTATCAGTAGGTCGTGTGGTTAAAAAGAAAAATATAGAATACCTTAATCAGGAAAAAACTTACTATAATATAATCTTTAAGTAGACTATTTATTAACAGTACTTCTATATTAGAAAAACATTCTTTATACACTACTAAATTATGTGGTATAATTAGTATATACTTAGTTAAACTACTTTCATAGTCTATTCTAAAGATAAATATAATTCTTTAATATAATAAATCAGAGAGGCCTTAAATTCTACTAAGCATAGAATATCTTTTTTTTCCTGGAGATAATACTTTCCAGAGCCTATAGATTAAAAATATAATAATAGACTTTTATTCAGCAGGCGGCTATATAACTGTATACTCCTATTTATAGCCTTCAGCAGCCAGTACTCTAAATTATTATGGTATAAGGCCAAGTACTTTATGATACCTGGTATAGTTATAACCGGGTTTATCTTAACTATATACTAGAAGATCAGAGTCTTATTATTAGTTAAGTAATAGTTTATACTCCTGACAGCCAGCTCTAGTAAATAAATATACTTAATAAATATATACAGGTTCCAGTTAATATCCTGGTACAGTATCTTTAACAGCCGGCTAAAAACATAAACCTACTATAAGTAATTACTTCTATTTCTTAGGCTCTAGAGCTTAATCTGATAAGTAACCAACTAATTATAAATTAGTTCTAGAGGATCTTAACAATACCTAGAGAAGCAGAGACTATACTTAATATATAAGCATATATCAGGTAAGGGTACAGGCTAGGGAATATTATATAAGGTACCGGGCGGGTAGGGGTAAATAATAATAACCAGAATAGTTAAATAAGCAGCCAGCTTACTGGAAGCTGGCACTAGTAGTAACTTAATATCAATATTAACTGGGGATTAGCTATACTTCCAGTAGTTAACTAAGAGGCAGCCCTGATTAGTTATAGGAATTATATATACTATAAAAAATAGAGTAAAAATCCTTGTATTTATAGTACAGTAGATATATAAACAGCTATCAGTTATAGACTAGAAGATCTAGTAGTTATTATAAAGGTAGATTTAGTAGATCCGGATAAACTAGTAATATAAATAACTGGCCCAGGCAGCAGCCTGGGCTATTAAAAAACAAGACTTAACTATATAATAATATTAGTAGTAGAAGTACTGGAAAACCAGCTCCTAGTATCCCTAAGTAAAAACTAGGTAGATAATAGCAGTATTCCTACCCCAGAGATAATTAAAGTTAATCTCTATATTATAATACTATATATAAGCAGAATTAATAAAATACAGTATATTATTAATACTACTGGCAAGAATACTGGCCAGACCCAGTCCAGTTAATAAAACCTAATTAGTAAAAATAGAAACTTAGTAATTAAATAATAAGGTACCTGTGCAACAGCCCAGGACCTTAAAAATAATCTACTAGAATAACTAGAGGTATAGGTCTACTAGTAAACTAAAAATATTAATTATTATATACCCGGGGTATTCCGGGACCCTGGCTAGATTATATAGATAATAAAATAGATAATAAATAAAGAGTAAAATTATACTTTTTTTCTTAGTAGTATAATAGCAGCACCTAATCCACCCCCAGGCGCTCAGGCGGTTAAAACCTATATATAGAATATAATTATATAGAAAAATCATCCCAGCCTAGTTAATCTTCTCCAGAAACTAGAAATAATAATAATACTTAAAGGTATTCTAGAGGCCTATATTCCGGGTATAGAAGTAGCCGGGGGGCTGGTTATACTAAAAATAAGTATACTAGAATAAATAATTATTATTAAAGCCTAGTTATAGATACTAAAAGAGTATTAACCTAATACAGAACTGCTTACCGGTAAAAAATCTATTACTGATAAAAATATAAATCAGTTCTAGTATAATATAGAGCTTATTAATATTCTAGTATATCTAGTCTAAAATAATCTTAGTTATATAGCAGAAAAAGACCGGGTTATGGACAGAACAAGTTAAGGGATATATCTCAAGCCTATAGTTAACTATAATATAGTTAATAGTATTAAACAGGGTACAGAAGATATAATACTTCTAGTATAAATTATAGAATTATTAGTACAAGCCGGCTAGAGTAGTATATATATACAGCTTAATATACAGGTACTCCCGGTACTAGTTAAAACAATATAAAGTATTAGTAATAGTATTTAGTATAGTGATCTTTTTCTAGGCAACAGTAATCATATCTATAGCCTTAATCTTAAAAATAATAGTATTACTAGTTACCAGTATCTCCTTAAGCTTATAGTAATATTAACTATATACAAGACCAGTAGTATACAGGGGTAAGATTAGGTTCTACTTAATAATCCTAATCTTAATATTCTGGAGAAGAATAGTAAGAAAGTAGATAGTAATCTACAGATATTAAAATACAGGGGAATCAGTACTTAGAGAGACTAAGAAAAAAACTAAGATAAAAGATAAAATAAAGAATAAGATAGAGGCAGTATTTGCGGGTAGTTAAAGAATATTTCTCACAACTTATAGACCTAGGGAAAGCGGCTTAAGACAGTAATCTAAATATTTCTTAAAATTATCTAGGCAACAGGCACAGTATAGTAGAATAAGATAAAGATACTAGTTAAATATAATTTTATAGATAATATTATAGTACAGTATCCAGAGTAGAATATTATTAAGAACAGTATTAAGCTTCTTCTAAAAAACATCACGTATAGCTATCCAGATTAGTTACTAAAAGGTAGATTTAATATTTTTTATAATAAACAGCAGCAGCAGATCTCTAAAATAGCCCAGGCCTGGGATACAGGTAGTATAATATATAATATAAATCTAGATTTTACTAAGGGCGTGCCCGGGCAGCCGGGTAATCTAAGCCTACTTATATATAGAACTGCTGCTTCTCTCAGTATATCTAGCCTTAGTATTAAGCTCAGTAGTACAGAAGTCAGGGGAAAGCCCCTGTAGAATATTAGGAGAGATACTCTTAGTAGTATATAGCGCTTTTATCATCAGCTAATTAGTCCAGATCTCGTAATCCCGATTCCCCAGCTGGAACTCCAGGCGATCACGGCGACGGGGATGGGGTACAGCCTCTGTATGCTCGCCGGCACCGGCGCCATGGCCTACTTCCTCGTCCTCACCCTCGATCTCGTCCTTATCCTCACCCTCGTCCTTCTCATTAGGGTTTACATTAGGGTTTACATTATTCAGTGATAAGAGGCTGCGCAACGATTGCAGAGGAGATGAGCGTCTTCAACAGGGTAAGCCGAGAACGACGTGTGTGTACAGCGTCAGAACTTTCGCCGTTGGTGGCTCATCAGGGCTGGTTTGATGGTGTCTATTTATGCCCTTGTCGACCGAGGGAGCTGAGGAGTTCCAGACAAAGAGGAGGTTGGACCACCCCTCTTTTTGCCGCTGGAATGACTCGTTCCCTGCCTTGAGGCATTTCTTTGTTTCCAATGAAATCGTTCGACGCGCTGTTCTGACATGGCAGGCGCGAATTCCAATTCCGAGGACGACGCGTCCCAGATTTGGATTGGCCAAGACCCCT